ATTATATTTTCTGGGTACGCCAAGCGGAGGAATTGTATATGGAGGGCAGCTCGAAACCCTTTCAGTTTCACGGTTGTTGGGAAATTTGTAAAGATTGGGTGTTAAATTTAATTTGTAGTTTTTAAATATAAGTTGTTGTTTTTTTTTAAATTTAAGTTGTTGTAGTTTTTTAAATTTAAATAATAAATTATGTTTGGCCCTATGGCCATTTGGCCCTCAGTTGGAGACGATTTTTTGTGACATGGCTAAAACGAGCCATATGGCCCTTTGGCCCTTGGTCGGAGATGAAGGCAAATATGGTCATGTACTATTCATTAAAATATTAATATCTTGGAGGGTCAGAGGGCTCTCTAGCCCTCGTTTGGTTGGAGATGGTCTTAGTGCAGCCTCCCCATCCTCAATGAAAATTTATTTTGTTTCTATCCTGGGCAATGAAAAAAATCAAACATTCACAATATAAAAAAAAATTAATTTCCTTTCTCCCCCATTTTCGGAGCAACCAAACAAACCGAACCATATAACTTTTCCCAGAGTGGGATTCAAATCCCACAAAACTTTCATCGACATTGGACCAAAAACACTAGACTATTTCTCTGCTCGACAAAATCAAGATTTAATTTTTAACTTAAACCTATGATGTTCTGGGGCGCAGATGAAGGAGAGAATACGCGCAGACTACCTCACCGGAAAGATTTCATCCCCTGACTCCATCGAGTTCCTCCTCCTTCCCCAAAACGACGCCTTCCACTACTCCAATATCCCTACCGCCCTTGATTCCACCAGCAGCGGCAACCACAACAGCAACGACGAAGGTGATTACGCTGCTTATTATAGGGTTTTTAGGGATTTGAATTCAAAACCCTAACTGCCATGTAGTCCAGTCATCACTCATTGAGCTTAATGCAAGGTAAAAACCCTAAATTTTCATTGAGGATGAGGAGACTACTGCTGAGGGTTGAAGGGAGGGGATAATAGAGGATTGGGGATGCAAGTGAGTGGGATGTGCCTGCTAAGATTTGTTTTTTAATTGATTTCAATTGTAAATAAAAAATTAATTAATTTTTTATTCTAGTTGGCTAATGAGTGGGCCCCGTTCTTGCCACATCATCATTTAACAATCAAATTGATAGAAAATTTAACGGAGGTCTGACATTGTAACGAATTTATAAGTTAAGGTATGACATTGCAATGTTTAAAAACATGAGGTATGAGATTGTGATTCGACCAATAGTTGATGTAGTTTTGTGTAATTTACCCTAATATATATTTATATATATATTATTTATTTAATATTTATGTGTAATAGATAAAAGGTGTTGCGGTGCGCAGCAAGTGTACGGGCAGCAACCTCTACAAAAGATTGGGTGTCATTCAACCTTTTACGGTTGTATATTTTGTTGAATGGTTGCAAGTTTTGGTTAAAAGATATAATGCTTATTCAAATTGTATGAGTAGAATTAAAAGTGTAATTAGTCAATATTTATATTCTAAAAATCGTAAATAGAAGACATGTCTTTTGGGTTAACACTATTAAGAAGGGTTGTATATCTTCAACTAAAATGAAATGACTCAATGAATGGGTACTTTAATATCTATAAATACCTATTGTGGCATAATGTTCACACACAATTTTCATAAATTTGTTTCTACATTCCTTGCTCTCTTCTCTCCATCACATTCATACAATTTCTTTCTAGTTATTTCTAAGGGAATATAATTCGGTTTTGCTAATCGAATATTTCATACTTTGTTGTATCCTGAAAGTGATTTGCCAAGAACACTTTAGCAAAACTCATTCGAGTGGGGACAAATAACACTTTAAGGAAACGATTGATGTTGTACCTCAAAGTCATCATTCGAATTATTCTCTACATTTCTACGTTTACTCAACATTACTCATGTGAAAGAGTTGGGGTCTAAAGTGCAGGATATCATGTCTCTCCTATACTGCGTGTAATGGTGGGGCTCACCATGTAGCCAAATTTAGTTTATCCATTGATATTTTCTTTCTTGATTTTCTCCACGATGTCCTCTTGCAAGACTCTAGTTTTTCTTGAGTTTGATGTTGTAATGAAAGCTAGCGTAGTTTTTTTAATGAAACATCAGAGGCACAAGGAAATTTTTTTGATATAGAAAAGAAACGTTACAACTAGTCAAGGAAACAAAAACCTTATTCCTCGTAATACACAAAATTAGAAGGGAACATAAACTCCCCCTTCAAACTTGATGAAAAAGAAAAAAAGAACAGAGGGGTGGAGGAGAGGGGGAGGGGGGAGATAGGAGCAAAAACCCTCTAAAACTAAACTTAAATCCACAATGAACTGTAATTGAGCGACAAGCTACTAACTATAACAAAAAAAGATTACTTTTTTATGTTTTTTCAAGAGAATTTTTCTAACCAACTAGGCTAAACCACAATGAAAAACAGACACAAAACTAAGAGCATCCAAAGAAATGGATGAAATCCGTAACATAGAGAATATACGAATCGACGCACAAGCGGTCAAATAAGAAAAGGTAATAGAAGGTGATTCCCTCCAATGCCTTAAAAATATGATGTTGGGATGAGACACTGCTAAAACTTTTTATCAGTACCTAATATTGTTGCTTTCGTGCCAAAGCCATCAAAATAAATTGCAAGTAACCAAGAACTAAAGTTTTCGAACAAACTTGGGAAATGATGAGACCAAAAAACCATAAAAAAAAACATTTTCAGTGGACTGCCAGGAAAGCATAATGCTTACCAAAAAGAATGAAAATTCATTTTCACAAAGCAACAGTTTGAGAACAATTAATGTAGAAGAAGCTGGTCACAAGATTCCCCAACAATGTGTTGGAAATTTAATAATAATATTATTATATATTAAATTCATTAATTGATTGGAAATGATAAGTTGAGCTTATTGGTAGAAAGATGTAGTTTTTGAAATGAAGAATTGCATATTTTGACTGTTCACGAATAGTTACATCCTTTTCAAAGAGATATTTCAAATTCTATAAATAGGGAAGCCCCATATAATCACTAACTAACTTTTCATTGATTACATAATCATACATAGAGTGCACTAAATATTAGAGAGTCTCATTGAGTCCATATGAGAGAGTTTTCAACACAATCGTGATTCATAGGGCCTTGTGATTTGAAATGCTACTATTACAAGGACGTGATCGTTATATCTTAGGAGAAGCGCCGATCAACCATGAGCACCGTAGTAAGGCGTAAACTTGTCTTATAAGGACAGAGTGTCTAACACTTGCCTCGACTGAATTTTCAAGTTTTTCTAATCCATTATTACTCATGTGCATGCATTACTTTGATATATAATTGCATCAATTATTTCTTAATTTTCTATGTGATATAATATAGCAATTAGATCCTATTTTTCCAACAAAATGCGACAAAAAGCGCAATATAAAACTAAAACCACTCCTAGCGTTAAGTAAATCAGCAGTGAACAATTGTCATGACACGGTTTCCAAGCTACTAAACTCTTGCTTGGTTGAATAGATTGAAACACTAACCGATGATGAACTTGTCCAAACTAAAGCATCCTCCATATGCATAATCGACAATAGAATCTTTTGAATCTTTTCTTGAAGATGAGGAAACGAGAAAGTAAAGGCACTGGGGAGAGACCACTTTGAATCCTAAATAAAACATTAACTTTGGAATTCAAAGGAATTATGTCGACCTCACGAACATTAGAGAGCAAGGAGAATCCAAGCTAGTTATCATACAAAAAATAAATCTTATAACCATCACCAACACTCCATTAAAGAGAACTATAGAAAGAAAAGCCACATCAGTTAGAGCCCTAAACAAATCGAAGACCTCTTATAAGATTTTAGCATTTGAAAATTATCATTAAGAAATGTGTTAACCAAACCGAAGTCGGTGAGGAAGAGGATACTACATCCCAACATGTTTCAAGGAGGAAAGAACGGTTGGATTTAAAAAGATTTCGGATACCAAAATCACCTTTCTCTTTAACTTACAACAAGAACTCCAAGCTAGTAGAGGCACACCCTTTATAAAGGATCACCAGACTAAAAAATTCCTAATCCATCTTTGAACCTCACGTAGTGAATTAGAAGGCCAACCATAAATTTGAAAACTATAACCAAGAGCCCGTGAATTACTGAATTACTAAGTTAGAGCCTCCCTGCTTGTGAAAACATTGAACCTTTTCAAGCCGACAACTTACCATAGATCTTATCAGCAATGGCTTGAAAGGAGGGCCTTTTGTGCTTTAACTTTTAGTTGCATGACCGCTATTATTCTTAATTGATTTATTTTCTCTCTAACAGTTTGTTTAACTGATAAAAAATGTAGTTTCTAGAGAAAAATATTTATTGCACTTATTAATACGGTGTTGCAAGTAAGGGACCTTGTGTTCAAATTTTATGAAAAAACAAGCTTAGACCAAGTTATTCCCCTTACCCCTTATCGTAAATTTTTAAAAAAAAATGTTAAGTCTTCAATAGTTGGACTCAGGCTAACTGGCCCTCTAATTGCCTCCTCTTGTACGTGGATTAAGAACATTTGTAATTCAAATAATACATTAATAAGAAACGGATCATATGCATTACAGGAAATCAAGTATTACATACTGCAGGAGCAGCTTTATTGCAATATACCACAATATATATTTCCTTATTTTTGGCACAAACCTAAGAGGACGAAGGGGAGCGGAACAACTTCAAAGTCAAGTCCGGTTGAGTGCGGAAGTAAATACTCTTCATGACGCCGAGTCCTCCAGGTATACAAACAAATATAAATTAAAATAAAAGTTCAAAGACCCAATTAGCTTATTGAATTATGCTCATTATCCAATTCAATGGATGTATAAAGCATGAACCGTACACATCCTTCAATGTAATTTTCTTGTCAGCAGGTTCAAAGAAATATATTTTTTTGTTTTGTTGTAATTATCATATTTTGGATACAAAATGAATGTGACGTTATTGTATCAGGCTTGACAATCTGTTTTGTTGTAGTGCTAGTTCAAACACGAACTGATGTCATTTGCTATACATTGTGCATCATCCGCAATGCCAAATAATCCACGCCTTGAGAATCCAGCACTGTAAAGACCCTTTTCTGATTTCCAGTGATTCGGGAAACTTTTTCGTGGCATTCCATTGTCATCAAAGTAATCGTTGTCATCCTTTAAGAGAAAATAATAAACAGATCGATTAATTGGACTCTGTTTATCATAAAAAGTAATGCTATCTTGAAACATAAAAGAATATCAGACATACGCATACCTTAAACCAGTTTAGAACACTGCTACTGTAGCCGGTAGCAAAGATAATAGCGTCGTACCAGTTATAGTTTCCATTCGCAAATTTGATTAGGTTTCCGTCAATGCTTGTTATGGAAGGCAAGACCTGATGAGGAATCCGTTGAACGTTATGTTAACAACACAACACAAGGTCAATTGTGATAGAAAATTAATATTACTTGCAAGATAAAACATCAAACTATGAGTTATGCATTCAAAATTCTACGTGCCTTTATTTCTGCTGTTTTGATCTTCTTAATGCACCCAACATCGATAGTGGCAGATCGACCCTTAGTTGCCTTGAGATAAAAAGGTCCCTCTTTTGGCCTTCGAATCCCGAACTTGGATAAATTTCCATACTTTAATTTTCCTAAGCGCACAACAACCTTGTCAACCATTTTAAGTGGTATGAATTTCAACAAAACCATTCCAAAATGTACGATTTCCTTGTTGAGAACATGTACCTGCGATTTTAAACAAGTATTAATTAATGTACATAAAAGTCCATTTAAACCTTAATTTCATTTTTTGTCCAATTGCAAACCATAATGAAGCCATTTTGGCTTGAATACACATTCATGGAGCAATTTTAACCAAAAAGAAAAAAGTGGCAGTTTTAATTGTCCTTGTGTGACAGAAAAAGGAAGAGAGAAGTTTTACCGGGCTACGGACAACAATGGAAGTATTAGCACCCGAATTTGATAAATCATAAGCAATTTCCATGCCTGAATTCCCAGAACCAACTACCAAAACATTTTTTCCACTATATTTCCTGCCGTTTTCGTACTTGCTCGAATGTACTGCCTCCCCTTTAAACCCGTCCAAGCCTTGGACGTGAGGAATGTAACCGACGCTATTTTCACCACTTGCAACCACAAGAAACTTCCCAAGATATATTTCTTGTTCACCCGAAAGTATGTTCTCGACTGTGACACGCCATTTCTCTACATTTGCATCGAAAAAAGCAGACTTCACACTCCGGTTGCACTTAGGGTTTATCTTGAATTGGGATACGTAATTATCCAAGTATTGAACAAACATATCCTTAGGGATGTATGTGGGTGCATTTGAAGGGAAGGGCATATAGGGAAGTTCGCAGAATTCTTTGGCCAAGTGTAGCTTCAAACGATCATATGACTTTTTCTTCCAAAGAGAAGCATAGCAATCTTCTCTTTCGAGTACTACATTTGGAATCTTAAGGTGATTAAGACATGCTGAGGTTGCTAAGCCTGCCGGACCGGCTCCTACGATGACTACCTGCACTTCCTCCATTTCTATGTTGAATTTTGGTTAAGTGGTTTTCGCAAGTCGCTGAAAGACTTTAGTTTTTCTTTTGCCGAATTTGATTTTGCGAATAACATATTACACGCTAAGGTATTTAAACCCAATAGTCCAACACAGAGCGACCTTAAAATAATTGATTACAGGCAGGCCAAATTAACGAATATTGTTATTAATTTCCAACAAATTTATTGTATCAGTGGCAGCAGTGCGTATAACTAATTCCTGAGTTTGCAGCTGTGCGTATAACTAAATCCTGTGTTGTGTTTTGGGGCACTTGATGTAGAACCATGCGTTTCTGGGAGTGTTGTTAGACAGTATGTCTTTCGGTGCAGTTGTATATGTACGTAGTGATCACGCTGTCCAATGCATTCCGTTTCCCTTTAATTAGCAGAGAAATACGTACTAGGGATCTAAACCTGTTTTGGACACATTAGAAATGTATATTACACACACACACACATAATATTTTATATTACAAAAAACATAGAATATAAAACTACCGAGCATCTAAATTGATCAGTACTACTCGGCAGGTTTTAACACCGAATGCATGTAATAGAAAAAACAAAATAATACAACAGAAGATTCAATAAAATTTCCAAAACTGAAATCAAACCTCAAAGTTAACAAGATGTCGTTATCGATACTTTTAAAAAAGTTATGGTGCACTATGAACTTTGTATTAAAAAAAAATACACTAATGAAGAGTCATCAGACATTTTGTTCTTCCCTTGCTTCATCTTTGAATGACATACTTGGACCCATAAGATTGCTCCTCAAACAAAATGTTCGTTTCCATTAAAATTTTCGAATTTGAACCCAAAATTTTCCAAACCTTAATACTTCTGAAAAGTTGGAACTAACAAGAATGCATTTAGAAATTCTGAATTTTTTCAAAGTGTTCTGAATTTAATTGGATAACACATTATGAAACAAACCACTATTTATATGGTTACTAACCAAAATTATGTGTGAAATCCCGTTCCTGGATTTCACTGTTATAATCTACATATTTGTATTATGGAGATTTTTATTTTTCGGGAATTTATATTAATTTATTTGGATTTAGATTTTAATTAAACTAGTTACGAAGAGTGAAGTTTGGAAACTAATTATTTAAAATTTGTAGATCGTTCGATGTCACAATTTATATTTTCAAATAGAACTCGATCTCACGAGCACGTAGGCGCAAACCGTTCATGAAACGGAGCAATAACGAATGAGTTATTAATGCTTAAAATTAAGGTTAATTTGGTAATTTTATCTTAATCAAGAAGGCTCCAGATTTTCTGGAGCACTGAAATTATGTCACGTGTGTGGCTGAGATAAAAAGAAAATAAGAGAAATGAAGGGATGGATGGAAATAAAGAAAGGAAGGAAAGGAGAGAAAAAAAAGAGGGGGGGGGGGGTAACGGGTCTCTTGACCCGTGCGACCCAACCATGGAAATCCAATGGTCTCCCGGCCAATTTCTGGCGAGTTGAAGCCCCTTATGACTTGGAAATGATTTCTCATCATCCCCTCTACCTATTCTACCCCAAATTCCATACAAAATAGCCTTGAAATTGGGGAAATCGCACTGGTGAGTGTGCGGGGTTCATAGAGGTCAATCCCCCAAATTGGAAAACAAATTCCTTCAATTACCACTACCTATAGCATCCTATTGAGGTGTGGAACAAAGCCCAAACAACTATAGGGGTGACGGAGCACCGGAGAAGCCGAATCGAAGTCACCAATTTCTAGGGTTTCAGCGGGTTTGGATAGAATTGAGGTTTTTCCTAACTAAATTGGAGGTATAAAGTTTGTTCTACTCTTTGACATCTTCATTTCTGTAATTTTTGGTAATTTTTAAAAATAGTTGAATTTTCCGGCAAGTCGGGGCGGCTGACCTCCATCCGCGGCGGCACGTGAGGCGGCGCGTGGCCAGTGAGCCGATTATGTATTTCTAATTTCAATCAGATGCCCTAATTTGATAATTGATATCCGTATGACATGGTTTGATTGTTTGAACCTATTTTCATTATAATACGCCACTTGATGAATATTTGAATCGACGATCCGACCGTTGGATCGCCACCAAACTTTAATGCGATATAGGATGTAATATTTCAGGATAGTTGGAACTGACGGATCGGGAATCCAAAATACGGATCTTTCCAAATTAGATATCTAAGTTAGTAAAATTAATTGTTAAACGCCACCTAATTCTAGCAATTGGCGGAGATCTAACCATTGGATTGCAATGAGATTTTAGTCTGTTGTTCTATGAGAATAATGAGGACCCTAAGAAGTTACGGATCCAAAATTCGATGGGCGGATCTTTCGGATCGAATTACGTGGAGTTGCGAACCCTACCGTTGACCGAGAGTTGACTTTTGATCAACATGTCCTGAAATGTTCTGGATACTAAAATTGGTACTACGGGAGACTAAGTGAAGTCTAGTGGACCCACATTGGTTAGAGAGTGATTTGAATATATGTGATATGGTTATTACCTTAATTTCTTTTATTAATATCATTTGTGAATATGACTTGGTTTTATAAATGTAATTTCCTTTGAAATGTGATTTTTTTTTTATATATTTAGCCATAGACCTATGTTTATTAAACATGATTTGGCTTGTGTATTGATGATTGTAATATATGTGTGTTTAATTATCTCTTTTTAGCAATGTGAATGATAAGTATGATAAATGCTATGACTATGTGATCTTAGAATCTTATTAGAAGTATTCTGTAGAAATTATATGATTGTGATGTTACTAGTTGGTGGCCATGAGAAGTTGATGATGTAGTGACTATGTTGTAACCCATAGGGGTTGAGTTATGGGTAGGTTGTGTGTTGAATTTCCTGCACCATGCGGCAATGGTACATGGATGGTCATGCTTGGTTAATACACATTGGGGGACTATACTATATGTGGATCGTGCTTGGTTAATCCGCATTGGGCAATCATTATGACCATTTATACTTATGGGTGATCATGCTTGGTTAATCCGCGTTGGGTGATCATTGCCTAACAGTTCTGTAAGTGTGACTCTACTTGGTTAATCCGCGTTGGGGGGTCACTACCTACCTGATTATCTTGACCCTGCTTGGTTAATCCGCATTAGGGGGTCACTAGTGGTCTTGCTTGGTTAATCCGCATTGGAGGAGGACCACACTATATATGTGGATCGCGCTTGGTTAATCCGCGTTGGGCAATCCTTATGGCCATGTATGCTTAGGAGTGATCATGCTTGGTTTAATTCGCATTGGGTGATCACTTCCTAACAACTATAAGAGTGACTCTGCTTGGTTAATCCTCATTGAGGGGTCACTGCCTGCTTGGTTACTTTCTCAGGGGTGGCTCTGCTTGGTTAATCCGCTTTGGGGGGCCACTTCGTGTTTGGTTACTTATGTAGCCTTCGGCCGAACTGCGTCCCTCTAGCCTTAGTTTTTTAATGTACATATGAACGACGGTTTTTTGTTTTTTTTTTTGAATCTTATGGTTTGAATTAGAAAAAACCGTTAGATGTCTAGGTGACTCCTTCGGAGTTTTCAGCGACATGATTATGATTTCATAAAGCATGATTCTATATATATTTGATGTTTATAGATAGATGTGATCGATGGCCTGTTTTTACTGGATATCATATATATACTTGTATTATTGTCACTCACCTAAGCTTCGCAGCTTATCCGAGTGTTTGATTTGCCTAATGTGCTATCTCCTTGACGTAGGCATGATTGTACATATGACAAGTCTTGGTAGATTACAAGAAGCAACTTGGTATTTTAGTTCCGTTGAGTGGTCCGGAACCCGAGATTGTTGGATTCCGTTGAGTGGTCCGGAATCCTTGCTCTTTCTCATATCCATAAGATTAGTCTAGAACCCTAGATTCGAGTGGATGGGAATTAACCCTAATAGACCCTGCGAATATAAACTAGAATTAACCCTCATAATCCAAGTAGGGAATTATACAGAGTTTCTTAGTTAAATTTGTGAAATGATAAGTTATCGTATTGATTGTTTAACGTAAAATAAATGCTAAGAGCATGCATTTTTTATTCATGAATTGATTAATTGACGAGATTGCGGAATGACTTTGAATATGAATGCTATTATTATGATTATTCTAGTTGATCAGTGTGGCTTGAGAGAAGAATATTGTGTTTCGTCATTGGTTCTTGAACATATTGCATGGTATGCATTGTGATATATTGTTGAGATATAGCGATCTATGTGATAAATGTTCGAGTATAGTGAAATGATGAACTACAAATGGCTTGATCCCTATTTAGAGTACGTAGGCAGTCTAACGAGGATGTTAGATGCAGCCATAAAGTCTACGAAGAATTATTGCGCAGTTGGATCTTAATTTGTGTTTTGCCATTTCCCAGAGGCGGGTTATGCTAGAGATACAGATATTTGGTGACGTCAAGGGTCAATTCTGGTCGTCTGTCGGGATCGGGACGTGACATTATGTATTTTGTAATCACGTATTCCAAAGTATTTTATAATAATAGTAATTAATAATAATCCATGTCTTTGTAAGAACAAGCCATGGTCGTTGAATTTTCTATAATAATACGCCATGTCGGTAAGAATATATCCATGACCTAGCCTGGACGAACTTGTTTAAGTTGGATTTCTACTAGGACTATGAGATGGATTAATTTTACAGTCTTTGACATGATTTAGGATTTCTTGGGACTTCTCTATATAAGGACTTTCATACGTACGTATACACGTACACGCATAAAACAAGGTATACACTATACTCATTGTGAAGTCAACTATTCTGTAAGTCCTCGATCATCTTCTCATCGTACCATTGTGGATTGAATCATCGACACTGGTGAAACTTGATTCGCTTTTTGAGAAACCGGAAGGTTTTATAGGCAAAAAGAAAATGGCACCGGTATGGCCAGGGCTTGAGAACCCAAAAGATTTTGGCGGCTACAAGAAAAGATCATCTGTGTGGCCAGGGCTAGAGAAAACGAAAGATTTTGGAGGCGACAAGAAGATGACGTCGGTGTCACTAGGGCAAAATTAAAGAATTGGGAAGCCAAAGGAAACTGACCCCAGTATGGCCTGGAATTGAGAAATCCAAAGATCTGGGAGGCAAAAAACCGGTATGGCCAGGGCTAGAAAAACCTAAAGATTTGGGAGGCCAAGAGAAAATGGTTCCGGTGTGGCTAGGGGTTGGCCGATGCAAAGGGGAGTGAGATTGGCCAATATTTGGAAGTGCAGAGAGGTGACTTGTCACTTGATGGAGGCAATATGTTCTAGGCAATATTTGACAAGAATGAACTACTTAATCAGCTAATTCAAACATTAATTACTTTTTAATTTCTATATTTCCCTATTTCCCTGCAATCTACCAAATATTTATTGACTAGTTTTTTTTTTTCTATTTTAATTTTCAGAAGTTTCAAAATGTAGGGTTCAATCACACAAACAGGCAAAACCCTAGCAAAAGATGGGCTCTTTTTCCTTGTCCCATGAAGGTTCCAAAATCTCAGAAAACGCTAATTACACTTCCTTGCAGCTTAATTAATTAGGAGCCATAAAGCATATATTGGTGAATAGTATCATCACCGTCAAACTGTTTTCTAGCAGTGCAACTTTTTTATTTATTTGAGAAGAATGACATTTTAATTAGCATGGAAAGAAAACAGGGTCTCGGACCAAAACCTTATTCCGGGAAAACCGCATGGGTGAAAACCCCAAGCAAGAAAAAAGAGACTCTCATACCCAAGAAAACTAACAACCTCTAACATTAAACATTACTTGGAAAGTCATAGCAAAAACAAACTGATATCAAGACGTAACCCCCACAAAAGGGCTTCGTCTTGAACGCAACTCAGGAGGTCAAACACGAACTGATGTCTTCTGCTATACTTCGTGCGTCATATGCAATGCCAAATAACCCACGTCTTGAGAACCCAGCACTGTAAAGACCCTTTTTTTCCGATTTCCAGTGATTCGGGAAACTTTTTTGTGGCATTCCATTCTCGTTGAAGTAATGGTTGTCATCCTTCACGAGAAAACAATAAACATATATATATCAAAATGGGACTCTATTTATCATAAAGAGTATAATGTTATTCATACACACAAAACTAACTTATTCCGTAATCCACAAATCATGATAGTACAAAACTCTAGCTAGGTATATAATAAAAAAAATAGTGGACCCAATAAACAAGGAGTAAACATCAAATCTCAATCTCACACTTTTTTTTTAATGAATGAACAATCTATAGCAAGGATACAAATCCATCTATCCTTTTCTCGGGTACATATACGAAGAACATTAGATATAGCATACCTGGAGCCAGTTTAGAACGCTGCTTTTGTAGCCTGTAGCAAATATAATAGCATTGTACGAATCAACGTTGCCGTTCTGAAATCTGATCAGGTCTCCGTCTATGCTTGTTATGGATGGCAAGACCTGATGACGATTTCAATAATAGTTATGTCAACAACATAAGACAAGGTTAATCTCTTGTATTACATGGAAAATAAATATTGCAAAATAAAAATGAAGAAAAAAAAGAATCGTTCAAAATTGTATACCTTTATCTCTCCAGTTTTAATCTTGTTAATGGACCCAACATCGATAGTGGGGGCACGACCCTTAGCTGCCTTGAGAAAAAAAGGTCCCTCTTTTGGCTTTCGAATCCCATACTTCGTTAAATCTCCATATTTTAGTTTTCCTAAGAGCACAACAGCCTTGTCGACTATGTTAAGTGGGAGGAATTTTAACGAAACCATTCCGAAATGTACAATTTCCTTGTTGAGAACATGTACCTACGATTTTTAAACAAGTCATAAATATTAGGGAACTTTAACGAAAAGCTCTCGGTACGGTTTACTTTAACGAAAAACCATATTTTTACACTAAAAAGTCAATCATGTTACTATTCACTTTACCCTTTATTTTGTCCTTATCATTAAAACTCAAAGTTTTCAAGCCATTTTCATTAGTTTTCCTTAAATATTAATGTACTTAAAGGTAAGACAATCAAATACAAAGTATTTAAATTAAGAGACTAAAGGTAAGAAAATTAAATACAAACTATATAATTATTCTCAAAAGTTTTATTAAAAAAAAAGAAAGAAAAGAAAAAAAGAGAAAATTTAAGTTGTCCTTGTTTGGGAGAAAAAGGAAGAGAGAAGTTTTACCGGGCTACGGATAACAATGGACGTATTAGCACCCGAATTTGATAAATCATATGCAATTTCCATGCCAGAATTCCCAGAACCAACGACTAAAACATTTTTTCCACCATATTTCTTGCCGTTTTCGTAGTTGCTTGAATGAATGGCCTCCCCTTTGAACTCATCCAAGCCTTGCACTTCAGGAACATAACCTATGCTATTTTCACCACTTGCAACCACAAGAAACTTCCCAAGGTACTCTTCTTGTGCACCCAAAAGCGTGTTCTCGGCCGTGACACGCCATTTGTTTATGTCTACTTCATAAAGAGCAGACTTCACGTTTTGGTTGCACCTAGGGTTTATTCCGAGTTGGGATACATTAGTTTCCAAGTATTGAACAAACATATCCTTGGGGATGTATGTGGGTGCATTTGGAGGGAAAGTCATATAGGGAAGTTCGCAGAATTCTTTGGCCAAGTGTAGCTTCAAACGATCATATGACCTTTTCTTCCAAAGAGAAGCATAGCAATCTTCTCTTTCGAGTACTACATTTGAAATCTTAAGGTGATTAAGACATGCTGAGGTTGCTAAGCCGGCCGGACCGGCACCTACGATGATCACTTGTACTTCGTCCATAAAATGACTGGTTAAGTGTCTTTTTCAACTGGGTGAAAGTTTTTTCTTTTTCTGAATTTGATTCTGCGTACAACATGTTACACGCTCAAGTATTTATACTGTTATACTTTATATCCGGTCGGATCAAAACTCACCAAATCTTCTATGTCAATTTTCGCTTATAAGTTACTCGATATCGCAAATGCTAGATTATTAATTCTCATTATAGTTCGAGTAAAAGAAAAAAAGGAAAATTAATGAAAATGGCTTGAAAATTTTGAGTTTTAACGATAAGGATAAAGTAAAGGGTATAGTAAATAGTACCAGGATTAACTTTTTAATGTAAAAATGTGGTTTTTCATTAAAATGAACAGTACCATAAGTTTTTTTGTTAAAGTTCAAAAAAAAAAAGAAAACTTCGTATTATAGGTCTAGAGTAGAAAAGCTTTCCGACAAAAAGGTGAATATTTACAGAAATTTTGTGAAAAATTGGGATGTGATAGTACAGAGTTCATTGCCTTAAGGGAAGAGGGCATACAGTTCTTTCCTTCTTTGTGACGAACAATTGTGTTTCCCAAAAGTAAAAACCGAAACATAGTAAAACTATCACCTTCTCCTAATATCCCTTTAAAGTAAAGCTTTCTTTTATTTTGTTTTTTAATTTTGTCCAAAAGAAGATCAAAGCTTTTGGTTTTGGGTTGTGAACAAGAAAGAAAATATCGGTAATATCAGAAATATCAGTAGTCCGAAAACACGAAAATATCGATGGAAATATCGGGATAATATCGATATCGATAAAAATTACATGGAAACCACGGAAATTGTAAGAAAAACTTGGAAATTTTTATTGAAACTTTACAGGATATTTATTTAGTCAATTATCTATTAGTTTATCACAAAAATTGGAAGGAAATGCATTGCATGATGGATTTAACATTATCATGTTGATTATATAGCGAGCTGGCAAACATGATGGATTTAAAGGATGTTTATTTAACTGATTTGAGGTGACCCAACCACACACACACACATACACGCCACCACACACGCACACATGTTCTGAATCCAGTGACAGTTACTGGGTTCACCCCTTCAACCTCTGCGAGCTTATCTTTTCTTCTCTCTTCTTCTTTTTTGTTTAAAAAAAATTATAATAATTGTTCTTTTACATTGGTAACTGTAAGGTTTTAATTTCGAGATTCCCCCCCACACCACACACGCACAGAGGCTGAGCTCAGTCTCTCGATCCTTCCTTCTCTCTCTTCTGAGTTCTCCATCCTTCCTTCTCTCTCTTCTGAGTTCTCGATCCTTCTCCCTTCCCTTCTCCCTTCTCCAGTTCTCCCACACACACACACAGACTCTCCTCCGTCGTCCCCATCGGCGCGATCCTCCTCGTCCGCGTCTCCCTCTGCTCCTCCCTCGCCTTCCTCCTCGTCGAGCCCGTCACCATGTCCCGCGGGCCGCGACCTCTACCTCTCCTCCGTCGTCCCCATCGGTGCGATCCTCCTCGTCCGCGTCTCCCTCTGCTCTCTCTCTCTCTCTCTCCTCTCTTTCAGCCGCTGATCGAATACGATCTGTGAAATGCTTGCTCATTGATCTCTCAGCTCCGTCCGATCTGTGGCCTTCCAAAGATGATGATCTTTAGCACTGTAACTGCCGGTGAGGTACTCGATTTCTCAGCTTCTACTGTTTTCTTCCAGATCTTGCTCGAATTCAAGCCCTTGCTTCTCGGATTAGTGTAATTTTGTCACTGATTTTGGTATAAAGTGGTGATTTTTGTTGAAAGATAGTGATGATTTTGTTCCGTTTGGTTGCAGGTTTCGTTCTTGCTCGGAGTTATTCCGATTCTCCGGCGAGGTTGTGACTGACTGTCGAGAAACCAAAATATCGCGATATTTTGACGAAAATTCCTTGGATACCTATTAAAATATCGGTAAAGCAAAAAGCCGATATTATCGATTTTTTCTTCCATGGTTGTGAAGAGCCAAGTTTAACTCAATCCTGAAAAGAGCAAACAAGTCTTCCCTCTAATTTGCTTTTCCCTTTAGAAATAGTAAAGAAAGAGACAGAGAGCAACTTGAATGAAAAACCAGACGTTAATGAAATGTTTGATGTCTCACTTAAATAAAAAAATAAAATTGGCCAAATCAAAATTGTTTCCGATTAGGCTCTCATTCCAGTTGTCTTGTGAAAAGCCAAATCAGTTTGTTTTACCATATAGAGAATTAAAGAAGGCTTAATACAATAGCGTTTTGCTATATGTACAGATTTATAAGTTGACTTTTTTTTTTTTGAACAAACGATATTATCACTGAGGGAGAGGGGGTGGGCTAGTCTCCCAATGTGCTAGCAATAATGTGGTTCAAACTCGCATTTGGCTAGAATCAAACATAAAACCTCTTACTTCCAAATGAAAAGGAATACCACTAGACCGTAGTACTAAGTGGCTTATAGGTCGACTTTTAAAGACCAAGAAAATATCGATTCAGTATAAACCTTTGCCGGGTAAGAGATGAATGAGACCTTACGAGGGCTCTTTCCCACTTAATAGATTCATTCCTTCGTTACGACAATTGAGGGGTCAACAAATATTTAGAGTAATGATACACTTACCGCATTTTTATACCACATTTTATGCAATTTTTTATTTTTTGAACAAACACATTTTATACTTTTCTCTTCAATAAAAATAGCGTCATCAACACATGTAAATCCATTTCAGAAAGTGTGGTAAGACTAATTTTTGTAAACTGACATACAGAGAAGGATTTAAGGGATGGAATTTGATTGAGCAACATTGGTGGCTTGATTTGTGATATTCTTGTCATCCCCATCAAACGAAATGGAACAAAATGAAGATTGAGTTTGGACTTGAGCAAGGAAAAGCGATCACGCGAGAGACCCTTAGTGAAAACATCTGCAATTTGATTTTGTGAGGAAGCATAGCACGTGAGTAAAGCACCTTGAGCGAGAAGTTCTCAAACAAAATGATAGTCAATTTCAATGCAACGGGTGCGAGTATGAAAAACGGGATTAGCAGCCATCTTTAAGACGGAGACATTATCCACAAAAATGCAGGGTGGGGTGCGGAGTGGAGTCCCAAGTTCTGGAAAGAGATAGCAAAGCCATCGAATATCAGTGGCGATAGTCGCAAGGGCACGATATTCAGCTTCAAAACTAGAACGAGAGACAATAGATTTCTTTTTAGCGGTCCAAGTGAGAATATTGGGACCAAGAAGATTCATCAACAATTTTTGAAAACGACTTTATCACAAATGGTCACTGAAATTGACCTACCCAATTCAGATGGTCGTTGAAATTGAAAATCGATCAATATAGAGCTCGTTTGGATGTACTTTTAAAATTGCTTAAAGCGTTTTTGGTGAAAAAAAATTTAGAACCAATCTTTGGTAAAGATGCAAGTAAATCCTGAAAAAGTACTTAAAGTGTTTCTTGGAAGAAGCACATGACTGGTACTTCTTACAGAAAACACTTCAAGTGATTTGGAACCAGAAACATTTTTTCTAAAAACATTTTCAGTCATTTAAAAGCACATCCAAACGAACCCATAATCTGTGAAAATAGATGTCACAAATTAATATGGTCATTCCATCATAATTATGTCAAAAATTCTATTATGTGTTAACACATAACTAGATTCTACAAATCTAATTAAATATTATCATGTCAATTAAAATATTTAAATAATAGAAAACAATTTTATTTTTATATAATTAAAACTAACTGAACTTTGAGAGTGCAATCAATATTTCAAAGTTAGACTTTCTATGGACTCTTCTTCATCTTAATTTTTGGCACAAAACTTCATAATATTAACTCAAAAATTATGCCAAAAACAAAATAAAATGACGGTGAGCTATAAAGAGTCTCACTCACCAAAGAGTTCTAACATTTCTCTTTTTAAAATGGTGGGATACCCTGATTGTGCTTAGAAGAATGTCTCTTCCTTCTTTGCAATTGAGCGCGCCTTGCCAAGGAGAATGAAGCACTTATTTTTCTGCCTTCTCATGACATGATCACAATACTAAAAACAGTGACATCTCATTTTCCTTCCGTCCCATACCCATCCACTCTTTTAGGCAAAGAGAAAAGACTGAAGCTTTTTGGCTGCGGTTCACTTGTGAGAAAAATAGCAGGTTTTGGCTCTCCAATCCTTTCACAAAATCTGGGTCGTTTGTAAAAGTATATTCAAGCATGCTTGATTTTTGTAATTTCTTGGATATGAGTATGACTTTGGGTTTGCAAAAATATGGCTGCATGCATCTCCTGATCTGGGTTCTCATTATTTAAGTGATTGTGTGCCTTCCTTTTGTTGTTCTGCATTGCTTCTCTCTCACATGCAAATGTATGCATCTCAGTGTTGTACTGATTTGGGTTTGATAAATTGCAAATGTATGATCTGGGTTCTCATTGTCCCACTGATAAGATTTTGTTTAGGGTTTGTAAAAAATATGAATTTCGTTGTCAAATGATTTGGGTTTGTATATGTGGTACTAATTTGGATTTTTCTCTATGAAAAGTACCTACTCAAGCAATTTTGCACTTCTTCTGTTGTAAATTAGGCTCCTTAAGTGCCTTTTCCACTACATGTTTTTCTTTTCCAGATTAGCCTAATCAGCCCGGTAATTCTCTAACGCAACGGATGGATGTTCACGAAGCACTGGACCACTTGAATAAATTGGGGGAATGGAAGCTTGATGGAAGAGTTAAAGAGAGGATTAAAGACACTGGTTTTGATGGGTTACTTAAGCTCACTACTTTTCCAATGAACCATGATTTACCCCTATTATCTGTACTTGTAGAATCTTATGATGTTAGAGAGAGATGTTTCATTTTTAATAGCCATAAACTTTTTTTTGGTTTGGAAGATGTATTGTATATCACAGGGCTGCCTGTAGATGGTAATCCTGTCACCGGTATTGATTCAAGAGGTGACGAGCTTTGTATGAAATACTTGGGTTGCAATGGTATTGACCCAAGGAGTGCTGGTATCACTAGTT